TTGGGGCCTCTCGGGAGTGAGAATATTGATGGAGGAGAGCAATGGGCAGTGGGTTCTCCCTCGTGTCCACATCCTTTGCCTGCTGATTCTTGCCAAAGTATGATTCTCCCCAGCTTGTCTTACTGGATTTTGCCTACTAAATTCCATACGTATATATTTGTGAATATCATGCAAGTATCCTTGCCAGTCTTACTGGATTTGCCGACTAAATTATACTCACTCCGTTTCAAAATAAATGTCTTTGATTTAATACAACTTTAGTATATACAATATTTGTGATGTCATGAAAGATTGTTTCTACCAGTATTCGCATAGTGATCCAGACGAGGAGCTCCACTTCACGGCGGAGATAGAGAAACATATGATTACTGACTTCTCTACTTTGGAGCTACATCTCACAACTCTAGAACATGCATTTGGAGCATTTCTGTTGCAACTCCTTGGGATGCATCGGATTCGTACCGCTACACGAAGCCTTAAAATCTCCCTACATAGATTTGAGGTAATTTATATTTGTGCTATATATGTATACAACAAGGAAAAAGTTCTAGGTGTGTTTCTTGATACAAGGTCTCAGTTTTGGAGAATATACTACACATTGATGCAATTCATATTTGTTTTAGATGAACGATGGATGCTCACTCCTTCAAAATTGTCCTTGTCATGAGCCTAAAAATTGGAGAACCCAGACTATCTCCTTGACCAATTTAGAAAAGCTAGAAACCACAGGATTCGAATGGGAGGATCATGAGTTTGATTCCTTGAAATTGATACTTAGATCCGCACCAATGCTTAAAACGGTTATCATGGGACTATCAAAAAGGTTCACGCCCGATGACGATTGGTGGACAAAATTACACAACATCTTCATCGCTTATCCTTCTGTAGAATGCAACATTGATCATAGTCCTGGTAAGCACGTTTCATGCTTGATTACCATGCTCCTAGATGCAACAATTTGCTTTTTTATCCATGTATAAAGACTAAATTCATGCTTTAGTATTGATCTAGTAATATTGTTTGGAAACCTTTATATCTTTGTCATCTCACTGCCCTTCATGCTTAGAAAATTTGTAGTGTGGCTAGGATATGTCATTAGCATGTCAATTATTCATTTTAGGTCAACTTAGCTAAATCAGTTTGTTCATGCCCAACTTAGCATGTTATCCTTTAGTGGGGCTCAAAGGACTAGGAACCATGATTCTATATACACTAACATGTGATGCCAAATACATGACTCCCTAGAAGACATGCAGTCAAATTCTCTATCTTTTCCCACTAATTATTAAAAACTTCCCTAATTATATTCACTAGTCAAAAATAAACATACCACTAGATTCTGGAGAATATACTACACATTGATGTAATTCATATTTGTTTTAGATGAATGACGAATGCTCACTCCTACAAAATTGTCCTTGGCATGAGCCTAAAAACTGGAGAACCCAGACTATCTCCTTGACCAATTAAGAAAAGCTAGAAATCACGGGATTCGAACGAGAAGATCATGAGTTTGGTTCCTTGAAATTAATACTTAGATCCGCACCAATGCTTAAAAGGGTTATCATGGGACTATCGAAAAGGTTCACACCAGATCATGATTGGTGGATAAAAATACACAACATCTTCGTCGCTTATCCTTCTGTAGAATGCAACATTGATCATTGTCCTGGTAAGCAGGTTTCATGCATGATTACAATGCTCCTGGATGCAACAATTGTTCTTATCTTTGTATAAAGAATAAATTCATGCTTTACTATTAATCTAGTAATATTGTATGTAAACCTTTACAACGTTTTCATCTCAATGTTGTTCATGCTTAAAAATGTGCACTGTGGCTAGGGTATGTCATTAGCATGTCAGTTATTCATTCTAGGTCAATTTAATTTAATTAGTTTGTTCATGCCCACTTTGTTCGTTGTACAAATGGCTGCTGTGATGCTACATATGTTTCGATGATATGTTTGATGTCATCTATGATGGCATGTTCTTTAGACTATGTTTTCCTTTAATGGGCCCAGTGGAATGGAACCATGATTCTATCTGGACGCGGAGTTTCTGAGCCAGAGCTCAAATGAGCTTGGATTAACTGTAAAATAGAAAAAAATACAAAACAAATTAGAAAAAACAATTTTTTTGTGATAAACATTACCAAAAGTTTCAAGTGCTTGTAAAATTTCATCATAGAATCACATTCCTAGAAGGCGTGGGGAAAAATTATCTATACACTGGAAATGCTACTTTCAAAAGAACTTTGGAGCATCGGATTTGTTTTTTTTCATGCCTTATAGGAATGTGATTCCATGACGAATGTTTGCATGCACTTGAAACTTTTGTCAATGTTCCTCACAAAAAAGTTCAGTTTTTTTTATTTTGTTTCTATTTAACTATTCGCCAAGCTCATTTGAGCTCGGGACCAGAAGGGCACTTTCGACTCTATATTCACTACCATGTGTTCCCAAATACATGATGTCCTAGAAGACATGCAGTCCAATTCTCTATCTTTGCCCACTAATTATTAAGAACTTGTCTATATTCACCAGATAAAAAATATACCACTAGCTTTTTCATGAAAGTAGTTTTATGATTCCTTTTTATAATTGCTTACTTACATGTTCATACAAAATAAACATGGCAAATATCTGTTGAAGAGTGTGAAATGTAAACCATCACCTATTTTTGAATGGAGGGAGTATAATTCATCCATACCATATGATTTGGTTTGCATATATTAAATACTTTTTTGTTTGTCCAGTTCACTAAATTTGGTTGGATCCTACACCTGAAGTTGGTTGAATATGCTATATTAATGCATATTTTTCTATCAGGAATATATTGTTGTTGATGCAAGCACACGTCCTCAAATTTTTTTCATAATAAAAACTGGATAGTTTTTCTTGCAAATTCATAGTCTATGCAGGTTGTCTACGTTTTGCACCACTGCAATTTAATCTCATATAAATTAATTAGTTTTTGGATTAATCAAAGTTAGTTATCTCATATTATTTCCAAGGGCATGTGAAAAGGAACTTTTAGCTTTTCATCATTACAAGATTCATAAACTCGTTGGGAAAGTTTTTATTAGCAAGATATTTATAAAGGAAAGCTCTAGTTGCATATTTTTTTATTGTGTGTTGATGTTTTTATTTATTTGTGACTGTTTATAAGGTTCCTTTTGCTTTTGATAGCACAACATCAATTTCTAATACCCATGGAAATATACTGACTGGCCAGTTTTTTCTCTCTCGATGTAGAGTGAAGGCACACCAGCAGAAGTCGTGCATCTATGATTATTGCACTTACATTTGTGGATTCGAGATGCTCATTGACAAGATCATCTTCTGCAACATGGACCAACTCCACTATTTGTTACAGATATTTGGTTGGTGGTTACAATTGGTAAACTGAGCCACTAAGGTGTTATTTTACGATTGTAATGGAGCTACATGCATGTAGTGTGTAATGTTAGTTAAAGTTATTTATATACCACTCTTAGTTAAGTATTTGAATGGTTGGCTATGCCTTATATACATCATTGTGTCATTTGTTTCATTGGCGTGCAGTTAATTGCCAACATTAGTCTAGTACAACCGTGCACGTGATAGTTTGATAAGCACATACATACCTTTGCACTCCATTTATGTCAAGCCTATGGTAACTAAACATGTAAGTTTAGTTGTCCAGAACTGTAACACTTAACGACTAACGTGAACCATCCTAACTATATTCAGTGTGTGTGTGTGTGTGTGTGTAGATACCAAGATGGACCACATTTTCGGCTTCTGATAAGTGCATTTAGCAGGCTTCCTTGTGCAATGTGTTTGTTATCTACTCCCTCAATTCCGACATGTAAGACTTTTCTCAAAACTAGCCAACTCACACGAGTCCCCCACTCCCCCCGGCGCGCTTTTAATTCATACGAGTCCAAATAAATGTCTCCATATTAAAGCACCGCAGGCACTTTCCATAATAAAATATATAGGAGTTGAATTTTTCTGCTTTGGTTCGTGATATTTCGGAGCTTGGCCTGGCATACTGGAAGCAACACAACTCCCTTCTGGCTTGTTAAGCTCATCTTGGAACTAAGAAATTTTCTATTTGTAAGGCTCATTGTCTTGGGAATAGGCAAATATAGTTGTGACCCTAGCTATACATTAAATTTTGTACATAATTTGTTGTCAGTGTGGAATCAATCAACCAAAATGTAAAAGGAGTGAGAGGTCATACATGTGACATTAATATATTTTTTCGCACTTAACAAGGTCCTCCTTGATGTAAAATAAAGATGTGTGCATCTCGCGATTGTGATGCATATAGCTTGGAGGTAGCTATATATCACCGCCGTCCTGGTTTATTGGTCCACTTTGTAGTTTGTGCTAAATTTTGACCAAAGATTTAACTGGCAAAATATTAGTGCATGTTAACAAAGATTATATCGTTTGATTCATATTTAAACATAGTTTTCGATGATGTAATCCTTTGTGAGATGCTTGAACATTTGGTTAGTTAAATTTATGATTAAAATTTGTCACAGATTATCATGGGGACCAATAATCCAAGACGGAGGCAGTATACCAGAAAGTATAAAACCTTCCTTTTCGGAAAAAATATACGAGGCGAAAGCTCCAAGATGGCGGCCTCTAGAACTCCGTCCATAGTTAGCCAATCAAGGAAACAAGATGCAAAGATGTGGGCATCATCGTTTGTTGCCCAATGTGTATAATAATTAATCAGCTAAGAGCTCCTTAAGAATACATTATACAATCAGAAAGTGTCATGGCCGGCCTCAACACACAATCCTCAAACGTACTTGGCCATTCTTCTAGGCATAGATTTCTTCTCCCGCGTTGGGTTTTCCCATCCTCTAAATTTATTTAACCTTCACACCACAAACTCAATCCTCAAACCCCAATTTCAGTCTTCTCGACTTGATCGGCCGCCCTCAGCTTCTTCACTTCTCTTTCATCTTCCTCCCCTGCACTGCATCCAGGGGCCGCTCCATGGACGAGAATAGAGCACGCCGTCACTGCACACCTTCGAAGCTCGGCCGAGGAGCCGACTTCATCAGCGCCCTCCCGACGGACCTGCTTCTCCAGGTCCTTGTCCGCCTTGGCTGCGCCCGCGCCGCCGCACGCACCAGCATCCTCTCCCGCCGGTGGCGCGGCCTCTGGACCCGCCTCCCCAAGCTCACCTTCCGCGACATCACGTCCGGCCCGCTCCTAGCAGCTCTCTCCTCGCTCGGACCTAGTGGCGTGCCCCTCTCCCTCCTCGACATCCACATCCCTGAACCACAGATCAAGGTGCATGTCGACCGCGGCCCTAGATGGGCCGGCGGCCGAGCGAGAAGACAGAGTTACCGATTACAACCCCTACATCCCACCAACCAGGTCACCATGCTGCTCCGCGCCGCCGGGAGGCTCTCGCCGGCGGCGTTCCGCTTCAGCCACCCGCACGAACTAGAGAACCCGTACGTCGACGTGGACCTGTCCAGCTGCTTCCACCACGCCACCTCCATCGAGCTCGACGCACGGTTCATCTGCTTCCCCCACCCACGGTCGGGGTTCCCCGCGCTCGAGAGTCTGTCGCTCTCTGGTTGCGTTGTCATTCTCGCCGTCGTGGTACCCCTCTGTCCGCGCCTGCGCGTGCTCAGGGTGCCTCGCGCTTACCTCCAGGGCGAAGTTATCACCGTTCGCTCGGCGTCGCTACAGGAGTTCTTCGTGGAGAACGATATCGCCGGCGCATCAACGAGACGTGTGGACATAGAGGCCCCCACGCTAAAGCAATTGACCATGTTGTTCCGCAACAGTGGCGACCTCAGCGTCTCTGTTCTGGCACCAGATTTGGAAAAGGTCTCGTGGCGGTGCATCTATTCCGGCGTGAGGGTTGGGATTGGTGTTTGGGGCCTCTCCGGAGTGAGTTTACAGACCAAGGAGAGAAATGGACAGGGGCTTCTCCCTCCCGTCCATATCTTGTGCCTACACATGATTGCCATGGTATATATATCCTCCTGGATCTCCTGCTAAACTTACTTGCTGACTATAATGTCCTTTCCGAAAATTGTTTTAGCGGCATCAACGTAACTATCGAGACGCAGAGCTCGCATTTGCGGCCGAGATAGAGAAGCATATGGTTGCCAACTTCTCTGGTTTGGAGGTACATCTCGAAACACCAGGACATGTGTTTGGAGCATTTCTGTTGCAGCTCCTTGGGATGCATCGATTTCGTACTGCGACACGAAGTCTTGAGGTCATCCTACAGAGATTTGAGGTAATTTATCAATGTTTTTATAGTTGAAAAAAATATTGCATATCAACTGAAAGGTTCTAGCTAGGCACATTCTTTAGCTGCGATCGAAAATGTATAACACATTGGTGTATGTCACATTTATTTCAGAGGAAAGATGGATGTCCACCCGATTGTCCTTGTGATGAGCCTAAGAACGGTAGAGCCCAGACTATCTCCCTGACCAATCTTGAGAAGCTGGATATCATACAATTCAAAGGGGTGGATCATGAGTTTGATTTCTTAAAACTGATATTTAGATGTGCACCAATGCTTAACAAAGTGACCGTGGAGCTGCCAAAAGGGTTCACACCAAATGATGATTGGTGGACAAAAATACACAACATCTTCATGGCATATCCTTCAGTGGAAGGCAACGTTCGTACTCCGAGTAATTAAGCAGGTTTCATGCATGATTACCATGCTTGTAGATGTAACAATTACTTTATCTTTCTACAAAGGCTAAATTCATGCTTTAGCATTGATTGCATTATTCCTATGTTTTGTGAAAGCATGTGTACCGTTTATCAACATAGTGTCTGCCTTATGCTCCTTTATACCTTTGTCCACTGGATGTCATTTTGAATATGTCGTTAACATATCAATAATTCATTGTATGTCAACTTAATGTAATTAGTTTGGTCTTCCCCTATTGTTTATTGTATAAATAATCATTGTGATGCTACATATGTTTCCACATGTGTGTTGTCGTCTTTATGTTGGTCTTTTGCTTAGGTTATGTTTTGATTTGAGAGGGTCCAAAGGACTACGACAACCTCCTGGATGATGATCATGGGCTCCGGCCCTTGAGGCCTAGGCCGTGGCTCGACAGCGTCGAGTGTGTTGCTCACCGGTCCCCATCAGCGTGGGCGCTCTGGCAGTATCCTTAAAGTACGGCCGCGCACCAGAGAACCCGCTCCACATAGCCTACGACGACTCCTACTTTGGCACTGGACTCCTACTCCCGTGATGAACTCGGCATCGATGGTCTGGGCACGAACATCACACACAACATCGACATGCGCGTGCCGCCGAGAAGATCTCGTGCTAGTGTGTGGTCATAAGTGGCGTACTGTTGGTGCACCCGTACCATGGGCGCACGACCAAGAGAGATGAGGGTGAGGCAGCCGCCATGAGAGCGTCATCCTGCAGTTCACATGGAGGTGGGGCGATAGAGAGCTGGAGTTCCTCCTCGCTCATCTTCAACGGGGCGCGACGGCCTAAAGGACATGAGTAAGACACAGTGGGCGCGAGCTAGATTCGCCGTCAGGTTGGATGGGCTCTAGGCACCTGCGGGTTGGGCGACTTCTCCATGGTGTCCTTGGGCAGGCTGGACAGCATGATGATGCCCTCCTGACCCTTGTCGTTCTTGGAATGGAGAAATAGCTGGTCATGCCAGTCGGCCCCTCGCTGCCCCTTGGTCAGCCCGCCATACACGATATCCTCTATGCTCGTGAGCCTGACGTAGCTCACTTATGAATTGATGTATGTCCGCGACAGCGCGAATAGGTGCCTGCTCCGGAACAGATCCGCCACCGACAGCATGTAGTCGTACGTCACGACCATGGTGGTCGTGACGGAGTTGGCAAAGGTGTTCTTGTAGAAGCCCTCAGGAACGGCACGTCGCGGCGGCCACGCGAGTTCACCATGAAGGAAAGGCGCACTTTCTTGTTGATGCTGTACCGAAAGAAGATTTTTTTAGCTCAATTGTTTGTTTATATCACTTATTCCAAAATTTCCCAGAAAAATAATTTTATCTTTTAATTCAAAGGGGTTAGAGCGCAGCCATGCGGCACAGCCAGATGCACGCCTCCACCAGCTCGAATCGAGAGCTCCTGCCCATGCATGTGCGGTGGCGTACACGGCCACAGCCCCGCGATCTCACGGGACCCGAAGAAGAATGATAAGCCGCGACGTCGCCCAAGGGATTCGAGAGCATCCATCCGTCGCGCCCGCCGGCTTTTGGTTTCTAGCCACATTTTGTCACACTTTGCCACATTTTATCTTAGGCAAGTTTGATCGAGTTTGGTGGGTGTTTGATTCTAGCCACATCCGAGAGAAGATTTTTTTATGAGAAGTGAATCCCACATGTCATAGACATAAAAAATGTGACAAGATTCCTTTAGGCAAGCCAAAATGTGGCTAACAATTTAAGCAACTCAAGTTAGATAAGTGTGGCAAAAATAATGTGGCAATATATGGAAAACATAGTCACAATTCAAACAGCCCGTTATTGTACACCATGTGTGGTGTCCGCCTGGTGTCGAGGCACTGCGCGGAGCAAGGACGCGGGCCTCCCAAAGCTGCCGCCCAGCACGCAGCGGTACACATGGTGGCGCTCCGACCAATGATGTTAAGTACCAAACTTTTATTCATATCTTCTCATGCCACCAAAACATCGAATAATGCGACGCCCCGAACCAACATTCTGGTGGGGAGAAGCGAATGGGGAGCGAAAGGTGCACTGGTTGGCGTGGGCTAAAATGTGTAAGGCCAAGCGAGAGGGGGGGATGGGCTTTAGGGACCTCGAAGCTTTCAACCAAGCTTTACTAGCAAAACAGGCTTGGCGTATCCTATTGCTTCCATCTTCTCTATGTGCTAGGGTGCTCAAGGCCAGGTACTTTCCGGATGGGTCGATCATGAACGCCACTTGTCCAAATGGGGGCTCATTCACCTTTAGGAGCATCATACATGGTCGCGAGCTGTTGAGAGCAGGGTGTGTTTGGAGAATTGGGGATGGCACTTCTGTGAAGATTCATCATGACAACTGGATACCACGTCAAGGAAGCTTGCAACCGCTAGGACAGCAATATGTTCCGGGGGTGACTCATGTCAGACATCTCTTGGATGAGGAGGGAAAGGAGTGGGACATGACCAAATTACAACAGATGTTCACGCCAGGTGATGTCGAGGATATTCAGCAAATATTGGTGGGTGGTCAAGGCAGGCAGGACTATCTTGCATGGAACTTCACTAGGAACGGAAAGTTTACTGTCAGATCCGCGTATCACCTCTGCATGCAGCTCAAAGGCATGGGGGCCGGACAGCCGAGCTCCTCGATGCCTAGTAAGGAGCACAAGGCATGGCTTGCTCTGTGGGAGACCAACGCACCTGCCAAGGCAAAAATTCATGTTTGGCGTTCGTTAAAAAATGGTCTCGCAGTGGGAACAGAGCTGCACCGGCGTAGGATCAAACCTGGGGTGTTCTGCTGTGCGTGCGGACAGGAAAAAACAACCTACCACAGATTCTGGACGTGTCCCCACTCGGTGTTATGCTGGAGATCGTTATGTGAAGAGAAGGCCGAGCCTGTGGTCCTGCCGCCAGCGCTGGACGGATCGCTGCAAGTTCTCGCTGCCTGGTTCAAGGAGTGGCTCGCTAATGCGGGGGCGGAGGAACGAGAGACAATGATCCACTCCCTGTACGGCTTGTGGTGCGCGCGGAATGAAACGAGAGATGGCAAGCGAATCCAGGATGCAAGGGAACTGGCAGACAGAGTTCACGAACACATCAAGGAATGGCGGTCGGTACACTCGAGGGAGCAAACGATCAGAGAGCCACGGAGATTGGAGAGGTGGATGCCACCGGAGCTGGGTTGGGTTAAAGCCAACGTAGATGGAGCAGCAACCAAGGTGCGGGATGGAGGCGGGGGCGGTGTGGTCCTGCGGGATCACCATGGTGCTTATAGAGGAGGAGCTTCAGTTTTCTTCCCGGGTACTGTCAACCCCCAACTTGCTGAGATGCTAGCGACGAGAAGTGCCGTGCAACTGGCGCTGAGTATGAACATCCCGCGTCTTCACGTCGAGTTAGACTGCCCGGAGGTGGTGACCATGCTAAATGGGGAAGATAAGAACCTCTCGATTATGGGCCAACTGGTCGAGGAGACGAAGGAGCTGCTCCGGACACGGCAGGAGTTCAAAGTAACTTGGGTACGTCGCGAGGCGAATAGAGCGGCAGATGGTTTAGCTAAGGAGGGTGTTAGCAACAAGACTTCAGTTTATTTTCCAAATTTTTCCCCTGATTGCATTTTACATGTTGTAGCGGACGAGGTCCCGGACCACTTTTAATTCAATAAAGTTGCAATTACCCCTCAAAAAAAACACAAAGTCAACTCACGCGTCAAAACCGCCCAAGAAGGTTCACGAAGCCACGTCGTGTACTAACATTTGAATCGGCCAACAGTCAATAGAAGAAATATCTACAAACGTGAACTAACTTGTGGTTGGATGGTTAGGATGACAGTGATATCCACAGTCCACCTGGGTTCAAGTACTAGACATGACACCGGTGCTCGCAGTTTTATGGATTTATTTCAGGCCATCCAACGACATGTGTTTAGTGGGAGAAGATGTTCCCGTCGACTACGAAGGCGTCTATGGCGGCTTTGCCAATTTCGAGATTATGTGTCAGTTCTGTTTCTCGGATGTGCTCGTAGAGATAGGATCAATGCATGCAAATCACAACCGCAAGTTGCCAAAAAAACACAAATAGCATATAAGTCATCTGAATTTAGAATGTGGGTCAGTTAATTCTCACATGAAGGAAGGAACAACCAGAGGGAAGAAAGAAGCTCGCCGAAGAAGCCCTTCGGGTCTATCTTATGGTGGCAGACGACCCCATGATCTATCTTAGGGTAGCAAGCGACCCGATAATTCAGATTCAACGGGAAAAAATGGGCGATCGTCAGGGCTAGAGGCATGGCTGTGGGCGGCGGTGATGAAGTCATGTACCTAGGGTAGGGTCATGAACCTGACCAAGGTACCCTCCCCAAGGACACCTCTTAGAAGAAGACGTCTTCCAG